TGATCGGGGTCCGGGGTCGCTGAGGTGATCATTTTTGGTTCGGTGTCCTTGTGCGAGTTGCCCTCAGTCTTCCACCAGGACAGACACTCCGGATTGCTGCACGTCCAGCATCCGCTTTTCGAGTGCTTTTTTCAATCCCCTCTCGCGATCATTCGTTCGCCTGCAGGCAGGTCATCTTTCACGACCGACCCTTCACGCGAAGAAACTAAAAACAAGATCTCATCAAATCTCCGCTCCATCGCGACAATTCGTGCGTATTTTCTGCCGATGTCTTCCTTGTATCGCATGTATTAAACCTCTCTCTTCCCAGAATGAGCAAATCTTCCACTGCAACTGCACCCAAGATTCCGACCCAGCTCTCATCAAAGTCAGCTTGGTCCAAGGGCCCGCCCCAGACGTCCTCAGCACCCTCACCACGTTCCCAGTCGCCCGCTCCCAATCAATCAGCCCCACAACCGACCCACTCTAGACGTCCCAGTGCGTTAGGTCAGGGCGTATCGTTTAAGGATGGCGTCGCGCGAACACCGTCGAGTGCTGCAAAATCAGGTACGTCGTTCGCCCGCCATCTCTCGGGAAAGAAAGGGCAGCTGAGCATCGACGCAGGCTCCTCGGTGACCTTTGGGTCAATAGATGACGTTTCCGCGCCCATCTCGTCTTCTCCTGCGTCCGTCCCGCCCATCAAGTCCGAGGGCGTAAAGTCCTTCGGCACTCTCCCAGCGACGCCTACCTCCGCGCCAGTCAACGGCAAGCTCCCTGCCCCTTCCTCAGCATCTACGTCCTCATCACATCCGCCGCATCCCAAGTTTGATGTCAAAAAGCTCTTCCAGATCCCGAGCAGCGCACCGCCGGTCTCGACGGCACCCTCCCAATCCTCCGCCGCCGACATCACCTCTCCGTCGAACCGACCATCCGCGCTGCCTCAGCTCTCCCCTCAGCAGCCGCCGTCACTGGGCCCTCATATGTATACCCCCTTCGTCCCCAGCGGCGGGCTCCGGCCACAGCAAAATGGCGCACAGCCAACGTCTGGCGGACCGCCACGCTCGCCTGTGTACCCGCGGCAGATGCCAAACGGGCAGATGAATGGCGTGAACGGCCGACCGAACGGGTCACCGGCCAACCCTGGTGGTGCAGGGCCGATGCCTACGGGGATGTCGAGCCCACGCATGGGACCGCCCATGGCGGGGCAGCCCACCGGCATGCCTCAGCCGATGCCGATGCAGGGCTGGTACTATGTACGTCCCAACTCATCTTTTGCGCCTTTGCTGACAGATACGCTGACAATTGTATGCGATATGCAGCAGTATCAGTATCCTCCGTTTACTGGCATGCCTCCCGAGGCATATATTCCGTACCCCCAAGCCTGGGCCATGCCACAGCAGATGATGCCTCAGCCACATCAGCCGCCGCAGAGCATGCCTGGGCCACCGCCACAAACTGGCATGCCGCTATCGCCACGCAATCCACCGCCTCCATTGCATCCTCCTGGAACTCCGACTCTCGCACCCGCGATGGCGAACACCGGTCACCCGCCACATGGAACGCCCTCCCCGCACACGCACACATCCGCGCTCAGTAACGTCTCCTCGCCCCCACCCACCCCATCTACGAGCACTTCGGGCAGTGGCCTGAACCGGCTGAACACGCAAGCAGCCGCATTCATGCCGCGCCAGAGTAAGATCAGGATCACGACCGCTGATGGGGCACAAGTGAACCTTGAGAACCTGAAGCAGGGTGTGGCAACTCCGACGCAGGCTGCGCCGGCCTCGCCGGTGCCCCCACGGAAGCAGACACTGGTACGATTAGAGGCGCCCGAGGCGAGGGAGAAGCGGTTAGCGGAGGAGATGGAGAAGGAGCGGCTGAAGAAGGAGAAGGAGGAGAAGGCGAAGCTGGAGGAGAAGGCTAAGCTGGAGGAGAAGGCTAAGCTGGAGGAGGCGGAAAGGGCAAAGAAGGCAAAGGAGGAAGAGGAGGAGAAGGCGAGAAGAGCACGTGAAGAGGTGGAAAGAAAGAAGGCGGAGGAGGAGGATCGGATACGCAAGCAGAAGGAGGAAGAGGAGGCACGGCTGAAGGAGGAGGAGGAGAAACGGGTGCGGCAAGAGGAAGAGGAGAGGGAGAAGGAGAAGGAGCGTGCAAGGAAAGAGGAGGAGGAGCGAATACTCAAGGAAGAGGAGGAGCGGGCGACACAGGAGGCTGAGGAGGCTAAGGCGAAGGCGGCTGAGGTCGTGGAGGAGGCAAAACCTGCTGTAGAGGAGCCTTCAAAAGCCGAGCCAGAGGAGGGCGAGCTCGAAGAGCACGTGCAGGAGCGGGAGCTGCCAAAGCCTACTGAGAAGCCGGAGTCTATCGCGGAAGAGCCAGAGGAAGAGGCAAAGGAGAAGGTCCAGGACAAGGGTCCGCTTAGGATCGACACTGCTGTCTCTATTCCTGAGCCGAAGAAGCGACCTGGACCACTGGATCTTTCTTCTGCGAAGAGTCAGCCTATCACCCCGGGATTGCCGTCCGCACTTGCGACGGCTCGCATCATTGAGGACATTTCGAGCGTATCGTACCCAGAAGGCATCAAGAGCCCCAAGGTCGAGCTCAACCAGAATGCGAAGCAAGGCAAGTTCAGGTGCGTATTCATCCCGAACTTGTGTTGTGGCGGGTGTATTCATCTGACGTTGCAGGTACGATCGAGATTTCCTCATGCAGTTCATGGCTATTTGCAAGGAGAAGCCTGATTCTCTCCCGCCTTTGGATGCTATCGGCCTCGAGCCATCCGACCAGTCGTTCCCAATGAGCCGTGGAGGCTCACAACGTCGTCAATCTTCTGCGGCTATGGGCCCTCCGTCATCAACCGCACGCACCGGTCTGGGCATTTCGAACTTTAAAGCAGGCCCGAGCATGTTCAACATGGGCCAATTCGCCGCGCCACCTGCGAAGATGTCGAGTGACGAGCGCTTCGCAATGTCGAACCCAAGCCGGACCGCGTCGATGTCTAGTGGTCCGCAAGGTATGCAGTTTGGCCGTCCTGCACCGATGGTGCGCTCGTCGAGTCAGGGAGGTGCTGGTGCGATGAGTAGTAAGCGCACGCGCAGCAAACGGGGTACGGACCGCGGCGATGCGGGCAGGGGTGGGCCGTCTGGTTCTGCATTCGGTTCATACGGTATGCAGCCTGGCGGACCACTTGAGCCTGTCGCACCCCTGGAAGTCTCCGCCAACCGATGGCAGCCAGCCAGCATTGTCAAGAAGCCTCAGCAGGTCGATATCGATTCGCCAGAGGTTGTCGACCGGAAGGTCCGTGCGCTATTGAACAAGCTCACGATGGAGCGGTTCGAGTCGATCTCAGACCAGATCATCGAATGGGCGAACAAGTCGGAGAACGAGACGGATGGGAAAACGCTCATTCAGGTCATCCGACTCGTGTTCGAGAAGGCGACGGACGAGGCGACGTGGTCAGAGATGTATGCGCGGTTATGCCGGAAGATGATGGAGCAGATCAGCCCGAAGGTGCAGGATGAAGGGATTAAGACCGCGGATGGAAAACCTATCGCTGGCGGTCACTTGTTCCGGAAGTACCTACTCAACCGCTGTCAGGAGGACTTCGAGCGCGGCTGGGTGGCGAAGGAAGCTACCGCCGCGGCGGCCGCTACAAAGGCCACCGAGGACCAGGCTGCGAAGGCGGCCGCAGAGAAGGACACAGGCGAGGATGTGCTGTATTCGTCGGAGTACTATGCTGCGCAGAAGGCCAAGCGTCAGGGTTTGGGCCTGATCAAGTTCATCGGCGAGCTGTTCAAGCTGCAGATGCTCACGGAGCGTATCATGCACGAGTGTGTGAAGAAGCTGCTCGGCAACGTCGAGAACCCAGAGGAGGAGGAAATCGAGAGTTTGTGCAAGCTCTTGACCACCGTTGGAAAGCTCCTGGATACACCGAAGGCGCATGCGCATATGGATGTCTACTTTGCGCGCATGAAGGAGCTCTGCAAGAACCCCAACGTGAATTCTCGTATGCAGTTTATGTTGCAGGTATGTTGATTATCCATTTTTGCAGGAACATCGTGCTCATCGTGCGTTCCCCAGGACGTTATCGAGTTGCGTGCGCGCAATTGGGTGCCTCGTAACCTAGTTGCGGCTCCGACAACCATCGCTGCCGTTCATGAACTGGTAGGTTTCATTCTGTCTGAGTCAAAGTTGCATTGATGAACGACGTTTTACAGGCCGCGAAGGAGAAAGAGCGGGAAGCTCAACGGAGCACGTCACAGAGCATGTCAAGAGGTGGATCCCGTCGCGGTGGTGAGCGTGAGCACCCGCAGGTTGGTCCCGACGGCTGGTCGGTTGCCGGCACGCAGAAGCAGTCCAACAAAGTTGGAGACCTCTCGCACTTTGGTAAGATCAGCAAGACTCCGGCATCTATGGTGCTCGGTCCTAGCAACATCTTCCAGAAGGACAAGAGCAAGAGCCGCGAAAGCACCATATCGCGCGCTAGCTCGTCGAACATGTTCTCGAAGCTGATGGAGAACCCTGAGCTCGCGAATGAGACTGTGTTGTCGAAGTCGAGCCGACCACCGAGCCGAAAGTCGAGTATTGACCTTGGTCCGGGTGGTGTGCCAGAGCCGGCACCGCAACGAAGGAAACTGCAACTCCTTCCACGCTCGAAACCGCTGGCCGACGAAACGAAGTCTACAGCGACGCCCGCTGAATCAGAGGCTGGCGGATCGGACGAGGAGAGCGTAGAGGAGAGCGTATCGTTGATGAGCGAGGCAGAGGCCAACACACGGGTGAAGGAGGACTCGAAGGAGTTCTTCAGTATTCGCGACTTGAACGAAGCCGAGGTATACTTCACCAAACTCCCATCAGAGCACAGATTCCGTCTCGTCGACAAACTTGTCTCTTCAGCTCTCGAATCGAAGGAGGCAGACGCGCAGCTGGTTGCGGATTTCTTCTCGCGTACTTTGTCAAAGAACCTGTGCTCGCCGCAAGCCTTCGAGGACGGCTTTGCTCCCGCTGCGGAGATCCTTGACGACATAGCGATCGATGCGCCAAAGGCATTCAACCTCATGGCGATCATGATGAAGGGTGCCGGGCTCGACAAAGACGAGGAACGGCGGACGCGGCTTGCGAGCAAGTCGATGGACAGCGACAAGTTACTCGGCCTGCTATCATAGACATTCCTTCGTTGGTGTTCTGCTTCATTGCTGTGTTCTATCCGCGCTTACTCTTTCATCTTTCATCACTCCTGTGTGTCTATCATTGTCCTGCATTTCACATCCTGTTATGAACCGCGCATTCGCGATGGTCGCCTGCATCCATGTGTAACAGCTACGTACATACATAGCCTCATATCGCACGATAATCATGGGTCTTTGTCCAATTTCTTTCCTCATACAAATAGTCTGCTTTTAACGGTCTGGGCATATTTATTGCAAGCTACTCGTGTCTATCGTAGATGGAGTTTTGTCTCTCGTCTGGTAAGCAATCCCTTTTGGAATATGGGAAGGGCATCAACTGACGATTGTCTTCCAACACTGCACAGTATCTACAAGAGCTTGGTCCTGAGTTTATGTATTCTTTTTTGCTCTTCATGTCGTTTCCTAGACGGATGGTTGCCTGTTACGATAGCCATTGTGAAGAATTCTGCCAGACTGTCCTGAACGAATGTGCCTTGGACAAGTCTCTTCAATGGCTTACGGCCCGGCCGCCGCTAGGGAAAAGATAGTCAGCCAGACGGTGTGATCTTCGACTGTTCATATCGACACGCTGCAAGACAGCACCATTACCGTGCTTTCATCGGCAGATTGCGGTATGTCATGCATCCATTGGTTGACTGATCGTGGAGTACTAGTAGAATCATCAAGCATAAAGATATCTTCAACCGAACGTACCATGGAAGTGAACGCAGTGATAAAATGGCGTTTTCACGCGTCCTTCTGTAGCATACCTGCGCAATAAGTTGTGGATCATATTTGCTATGATCACGTCCGACACCAACGCGGAACACCTGCGAAGGTACCCAGAAGGTTGAACACAGCGCATACATTCTATTCACAGTAACAAGAACAAGGCGGCATCAAGTATGCGGTTTCCTTTGCAGCGCCGGTCTGATCACGGCTTCACACAAATAATTTGTTCTTGCAAGGCTTCGCCTAGTACACAGATACAATTCAGCGCTGAATAGTTTTGTCGGGCACATGAATCCAATGCACGTTCCTACTCACCTCTTCAGATGCTCCGAGTCCTGTTAGATCGCCACCTCGCCATTTCAGCGATCTGCAACATGATCAGCACATCTTGGACACTATCGGGCTTTTCCCCTGTTGTAAATAGGGATCATTCACGCATTGTATTGGCAGACGCACCATGTCGCGGCATGATGGTCTCTTCGTCAAGCTGCACGACGTATGTTCGTTTTCTTGCTCTCCTGCCCTGAAAATTGTCTAACTATCCGTGTTACGTCGGGTTTCGGATCTCATACGTCGCCTTCGTGGAAGCTGTTTATCCTGACGAGGATTCAGTCAAGCGTAAAGCTCGAGCCAATGGGACTGCCTTTCGATCTCGACTCTTCGCCTTACTCAATACCGTCATGTCCACCCTTCGACCCACGCTATGTCACCCTTATAGACAATCCTTCACACAAACTGTGGATTACTGATTTCAGCGGAGCTGGTACGATATGGATGAACCTCAGCATTACTATACGATGTTGTAGAAATTATGCACACACACGTCTATATTTATATCCCAGCGTTGTCCGTCGTGCATGTACTATTGTAGCTCACATTGGTTCGGAACTCAACCGCGTTAATTCGAGAGTGACGCTCGGAATGCAATTCAGCGCCATTCATCCGCCGGCAGCTGCCGCCCATCAATAGCCAGCTCCCCCAGCAATATTGTGCTCGCTGGTGATACCTGGTATGAAGGAGCAAGCGACACAGAGCGTTCCCCAGGACGCTGACGAGTTGCGTGCGCGCAATTGGGTGCCTCGTAACCAGGGTGCGGCTCCGACAACCATCGCTGCCGTTCATGAACTGGTAGGTTTCATTATGCCCCAGTCAAGATTGCATTGGTGAACGACGTTTTACAGGCCGCGAAGGAGAAAGAGCGGGAAGCTCAACGGAGCACGTCGCACAGCATGTCAAGAGGTGGATCCCGTCGCGGTGGCGAGCGTGAGCACCCGCAGGTTGGTCCTGACGGCTGGTCGGTTGCCGGTACGCAGAAGCAGTCCGACAAAGCCGCAGACCTCTCGCAGTTCGGTGAGGTTAGCAAGACGCCGGCATCTAAGATGCTCACGGAGCGTATCAATATCATGCACGAGCGTGTGAAGAGGCTGCTCGCCAACGTCGAGAACCCAGAGGAGGAAGAAGTCGAGAGTTTGTGCAAGCTCTTGACCACCGTTGGAAAGCTCCTGGACACACCGAAGGCGCGTGCGCGTATGGATGTCTACTTCGCGCGCATGAAGGAGCTCTGCAAGAACCCCAACGTGAATTCTCGTATGCAGTTTATGTTGCAGGTATGTGATTACCCATTTTTACGCGGAACATGGTGCTCATCGTGCGTTCCCCAGGACGTTATCGAGTTGCGTGCACGTAATTGGGTGCCTCGCAACCAGGTTGCGGCTCCGACAACCATCGCTGCTGTTCATGAACTGGTAGGTTTCATTATGCCCGAGTCAAGACTGCATTGATGAACGACGTTTTACAGGCCGCGAAGGAGAAGGAGGGGGAAGCTCAGTGCGGCACCACGCAAAGCATGTCGAGAGATGAATCCCGTCGCGGGGATGAGCGCGATGACCCGCGGGTTGGTCTCGACCGCTCGTCGGTTGCCGCTACGCAGAAGCGGTCCAACAAAGCTGGAGACCTCTCGCACTTCGGTAAGATTAGCAAGACACCGTCCTCTATGGTGCTCGGTCCTAGCAGCATCTTCCAGAAGGACAAGAGCAAGAGCGGCGAAAGCACCATATCGCGCGCTAGCTCGTTGAACATGCTCTCGAAGCTGATCGAGGATCAGTTCGCGAACTTTGAGACTGTATCGTCGAAGTCGAGCCGACCACCGAGCCGCTTCGCTGCCGTTGATGGACTGGTAGGTTTCATTCTGTCTGAGTCAAAGCTGCATTGATGACCAATGTTTCGCAGGCCGCGAAGGGAACAGAGCGGGACGCTCAGAGGAGCACGACGCACAGCATGTCGAGAGGTGGATGCCGTCTCCGTGTTGAGCGCGAGCACCCGCGGGTTGGTCTCGACCGCTCGTCGGCTGCCGGTACGCAGAAGCAGTCCAACAAAGCTGGAGACCTCTCGCACTTCGGTAAGATTATCAAGCCACCGTCCTCTATGGTGCTCGGTCCTAGCAGCATCTTCCAGAAGGACAAGAGCAAGAGCGGCGAAAGCACCATATCGCGCGCTAGTTCATCGAATATGTTCTCGAAGCTGATGGAGAACCCTGAGCTTGCGAACGAGGCTGTATCGTCGAAGTCGAGCCGACCACCGAGCCGCTTCGCTGCCATTCATGAACTGGTAGGGTTTCATTATGCCCGAGTCAAGATTGCATTGATGAACGACGTTTTACAGGCCGCGAAAGAGAAGGAGCGGGAAGCTCAGTGCAGCACCGCGCACAGCACGTCGAGAAGTGAATCCCGTCGCGGGGATGAGCGCGATCACCCGCAGGTTGGTCTCGACGGCGGGTCGGTTGCCGGCACGCAGAAGCAGTCCAACAAAGGCGGAGATCTCTCGCACTTCGGTAAGATTAGCAAGACGCCATCGTCTATGGTGCTCGGCCCTAGCAGCATCTTCCAGAGAGACAAGAGTAAGAGCCGAGAAAGCACCATATCGCGCGCTAGCTCGTTGAACATGTTCTCGAAGCTGATGGAGAATCCTGAGCTCGCGAACGAGACTGTCTCGTCGGAATTGAGCCGACCACCGAGCCGAAAGTCGAGCATTGACCTTGGTCCGGGTGGTGTGCCAGAGCCGGCACCGCAACGCAGGAAACTGCAACTCCTTCCACGGTCGAAACCGCTGGCCGACGAAACGAAGTCCACAGCGACGCCTGCTGAATCAGAGGCTGGCGGTTCTGACAAGGAGAGAGGAGAGGAAAACGTATCGTCGATGAGCGAGGCAGAGGCCAAGACACGGGTGAAGGAGGACTCGAAGGTTCAGCATCCGCGACTTGAATGAAGCCAAGGTGTACTTCACCAAACTCCCGTCAGAGCACAGATTCCGTCTCGTCGACAAACTTGTCTCCTGAGCTCTCGAATCGAAGGAGGCAGACGCGCAGCTTGTTGCGGATTTCTTCTCGCGTGCTCTGTCAAAGAACTTGTGCTCGCCGCAGGCCTTCGAGGACGGCTTTGCTCCCGCTGCGGAGATCCTTGACGACATAGCGATCGATGCGCCAAAGGCATTCAACCTCATGGCGATCATGATGAAGGGTGCCGGGCTCGACAAAGACGAGGAACGGCGGACGCGGCTTGCGAGCAAGTCGATGGACAGCGACAAGTTACTCGGCCTGCTATCATAGACATTCCTTCGTTGGTGTTCTGCTTCATTGCTGTGTTCTATCCGCGCTTACTCTTTCATCTTTCATCACTCCTGTGTGTCTATCATTGTCCTGCATTTCACATCCTGTTATGATTCCGCGCATTCGCGATGGTCGCCTGCATCCATGTGTAACAGCTACGTACATACATAGCCTCATATCGCACGATAATCATGGGTCTTTGTCCAATTCCTTTCCCCATACAAATAGTCTGCTTTTAACGGTCTGGGCATATTTACTGCAAGCTACTCGTGTCTATCATAGATGGTGTTTTGTCTCTCGTTTGGTGAGCAATTCCTTTTCGAATATGGGAAAGGCATCAACTGACGATTGTCTTCCATCACTGCACAGTATCTACAAGAGCTTGGTGCTGAGTTTATGTATTCTTTTTTGCTCTTCATGTCGTTTCTTAGACGGATGGTTGCCTGCTACGATGGCCATTGTGAAGAATTCTGCCAGACTGTCCTGAACGAATGTGCCTTGGACAAGTCTCTTCAATAACTTACGGCCCGGCCGTCGTTGGGGAAAAGATAGTGGCAGTATCAAGTACGCGGACTCGTTTGCAGCTTCACACAAACAACTGTTCTTACAAGGCTTCGCCTGCGCAGGATACAGCTCAGTGCTGAATACTGTCGGGCATGCAAATCCAATGCACGTTCCTATTCACCTGAGTCAGATCATGCTCCTTTTAGGCCCCACCTCGTCTTATCAGTGATCTGTAACGTGATGGTCTTTTCATTAAGCTGCACGACGTATGCTCGTTCTCTTGATCTCCTGCCCTGAAAATCCTCTGACTATCTGAGTTACATTGGGTTTCACATCTCATTCGTCGCCTTCGTGGAAGCTGTTTGTCCTAACGAGGATTCAGTCAAGCAGAAGCTCGAGCGGATGGGACTGCCTTTCGACTTCGACACTCTTCGACTTACTCTATACCGTCATGTCAGCCCTTTTAATGTCCTTTTCCGCCTCATAGACAATATGATGTTATAGAATCATTGTACACATGTCTATATTTGCATCCCGACATTGTCTGTCGTGTCTGTACTATTAACAGCTTAAATTGGTTCGGAACTCAACCGCGTTAATTCTGATGCATCGATCACTCCGAGACGGAGAAAGTTGCGACAGTAACGCTCGGAATGAGATGATTGTGACTGAATGTGCATCAGCGCCATTCACCTGCCAGTCGGCAGTTGCCGCCCATCTATTCCCAGGTCCTCAGCAATGTGCTCCCTGGTGATATAGAAGCAAGCGACACAGAAAGAAGATCTTCTGCCGTCGTGCTGCCAATGGCTCTGGACTCAGTGCAGCCCTGCAGCAAGAAGCAGGCACGACACCTCGGACGACCTGTAAACATGGAAACCGCGGAAACTGGGCATTCGCCTTCGCAGGTGGTAGCTTTGACATTATACACTTTCACTGGCAGTTCGCATGCACACCTATTGGGCGCTTCAAAGTTGTTTAAAATATACACCTGCAATCATGTCTAGAAGTTGAATAGAGCATCGCTACCGGCGTCCTACGCTATTCATAGTTAGCAACCAGGACAAGGCTGCACCGAGGGTCCGGACTCTCCGCAGCCACCTGGCGAGGTCCTCACGGCCAATCAATCCTCGCCGAACCTGACCTGTGCTAATATAACCCAATGCTGAGTAAACGCATGCCGAGACAAGGTTACCTGTGTAATCCACCCTTTGGGAACCACGTGCGACGCAGCTGCCTCACCATGTTAGCATGTCGACAGCAGCCTGCGGCGCAGTCAGAACAAGAAAACGATCCTGCGCAGTGGAAGAGTTACCACAGACCTTGTATTTCCGGACGCGCCATCTGGAGACCTGCCAGTGAGCCGCTCTCTCTCCTGTCTGCGAACCTCGACGAGCGTCCCAACCCAACGGCCTACTTCCTCCCATTCCCTTCCAACGTTCTGGGGTCGTCGCATAGGTAGAATACGGTAAGATCCCTTAACGAAGGAAGGTGGCAGAGTCCGAGCAGGAGATAGCCTATCATGGAGTCTTGTGACACGTCTACGCATAATGACTCAAGACACCGTAAGCTCCCCAAGGCGTGCGACAGTGAAGCAGACCATCGAACAGTGCCACGTAACATCAGCAGAGATAGTTGCGGGGAAATTTGAGGAATGTTGGCAAAGAACGAAGTTACAGATTCTTCACTACATGTCGGACGCGGAAATATCCTCAACATGGTGAGATTGGGGCCAAGGAAGAGCGGTACGTATTTGAAGTTCCAGCCCTCGCAAGAGAGATTGAGGCTGAGCATATTGGAGAACGGCGTAACGGATAATGTGGCCAATCGGAGCGCAAGCACTTTGCACACGGTATTCTTACTGGAGTCAGCACCACCAAGCGCGGTGTCCACCAGATAGAGAAGTTGAATCCGTTTTGCGTGGAGATCAAATCTAGACCAATCCTCTGGAAGAAGAGGCCGAATGAACGTCTGCGTTCTCGATGAGACTGAGCGTGATCTACGGGCGACGAGAAATAGAATCTTACCAATGACTCATTTTGCACCTTCCATGAATCATGCGGCACATAACACCGCAGGCATGATACCGTTGGTCCCCACGGCAAATGCTGTGTAAATGTGGCGTGAGAGTGTGACCTATGCCGTGAGGTCTTCAATTGTGACATATACAATGCTAAAGCCGGAATCTGTGCCTGAGTATTCGGCTCATCTAAATGATAAACCATAAATTGGGAAAAGGCAGTGTGATCAAACTTAGAATATTGCATACCACATTTAAGGTCAGGCCAGGCACAATTGCGAATTGTAAATATGTGCCGGTATGCCGTGCGAACGCAAATTATGCACAACATTTGCTTCAGTAACATGTTTTATTTGCAGAATGCGGACAGAGCCAACATTCATGCAAATAGTTAATATGGTGCCTGGTCAACATCTAGGATGGTTTTCTAATCCTCGCATATATAAAACTTCAGTTCTCATAGAACAGTACAGGGGATGAATCGGCCTGCCGAGCGACTCAACTCAGTGGGCCACTTCTGAGTCATGGGATTTAGACGCCACTGTAGGGCAGGCTGGCACTGAGGCACGGGGATATAGACGCACTGGGGCGCTTCCGCTCCCCCTTTCATCTTCTCGCCCCTTCCTTGTAGGTAGATTAGAAAACATTACTGAAGTCTCCCGCTAGCCAATTTCGCCGTCAGCCTGAAGCGCCCATGTCTGAGTTCAGGCCTCCACAAACGATGTCTTTCCAACTCACCGCAGGCATCGTCAAGCGTCTTGGAGACACGAACAGTGTCCCCGCTGACGTGCTCGAGTCGCAGCCAACCGTGCAGTTTCTCGCGTTCAAAAAGGTTGCGCTGGCCTCAGAGGCGGCGGCGACGATGGATCGCTACTGCGTGATCATGTCGGACGGGCAACATTTCTTGCAATCGATGATCGCAACACTGTTGAACGAGTTCATTGAGACTGGGCAAGTTGGGAAACACTCGGTTGCGGTCATCGAGCGGTTCAGATGGCATGAAGCTTGCCTACATTCGCCACTGCAGTCATCAGCTCGATACTGCGTATTTCAGCAGCAACGATTGGGCATGGAAAGAACATTTCACATTGTTGTGGAAGGTAACAGCTTGATATTACATTTTGTCGATTGTCTGTTAGCGCGTGTATTTTATTAGTATTATAACCAGAATCAAGCACTTCATTGTTCGCTTGGGAACGAGTAAAGGACGCAATTGCGATGAGTTCAACACATAAAAAATAGCAGTGGGTGCATCTACGCAACTGGATGGGCCTTCAGTTCGGCAGCTACACGAATATCGAAGGAAATGCGAAAGCATGCTGCATCATTCAATATGAGCACCCGACGTTACCATACGAACTTCTAAGCATGATTACTACCGGCTTTGATACGGAAGCGACATCGTACCTGCAGATCTCGTCGATCCACCGCTTAGGTTCGCAGATCCTGGCTTCTCTCTCAGATGCCACCGTTCATTCGATAGGGACAGTCATGCTCATGGAGATGAACGGCGTGCAAACAAGTTTGGTCCTCCTTAGTAGACGATAATTGACCCGACAGGCTAGTACAATATTCATCATGAGCTGCTTGCTTGGACTGATCCTTTCGGTGCTAAAAATCTACCCTCTCTGCTTCATATGTGATTTGGTGGCTAAGCAGTTCCCTTCAGTGGGCTTCTTTAGTGATGATAATTGAGACGATACCTATCACGCACAAGTACTCATCCTTCATCAATTCGTCAATGTCATCACGTCCCAGTAGTCCTTCTGAATAGTTAAAAAAAGGTTTGAAGTTGCTTGGATCGATCACCTATGCATTCGTTCACATTCAGTCTTCTCAATAAATAGAGGACATGTTACACTAACCTGACAACATTCATAGACTCCCAATTTTGCGCTAAGCGAACGCAAATCCAAATTTCCGTCTGGCAAACAATGGATTGACACCTCCTTGATCGGATTCCAGTCTTTCGCTCGGTCAAACAGCCTGATTCGTACCTCCCGAGAAGGATGAGATCTATTCTTTCCATTAGCCTTAGCTTCGAATGTCGTTGGACCTGCAGGCGGCATCGCCACTTCTACTCGATCTTGAACAAGAAATGTTGCTACGCTGGGGGGGGCAATCGTCAATGCTACCTCGAACATCGTGTTCAAATCTTCCTCATATCTATGATGGGTATCTTGCACGACGAGATCAGCTTCGAGATGAGGTCGCTTCACTGGGTCATCCGCGGTGTTATCAGCCAAGGGACGTTTCCTTTGAATGGGTGAGATCGTCTCTTCCTCTACAGGTGTGCTTTCCTAGTGCAAACGTTAGCGGGTGTCGAGTTGCTATATGTGAATGGTCTCACTGATGTTGAGATGGGCGCATTCTGTGCAGACAACGTTGATCCCTCTGGAGCCAAAGCAGAAGTGTCTGAAGACTTTGAGCAAGACTCCAAGCGAGCCCGTTTAGAAACCTCGGGAAGTAAATCATCCGCTGCCCTCCGCCTCTTGATGTGAGGTCCAGCCTCCGCAACGTGAGTTTCGACTGGCTGAGGAGATGCCTTGTTAGCTTCGCTGGAAGGGCTCACGGCAGGCACACTAAAAGCTGCCCGCTGGCTCCTATTCAGCGCGATACTCAAGAAAAAGAACGACGACTTACGTTGTCGAGAAGAGTGCGGATATAATCCTCCTTCAGAACTCGGTTCTTTGCAGCCTTTTGACCCCTCCGTCCGGTCGGAGCGACATATAATTGGCGAGAATTGCACAACTCACGCAAAACGGCTAGAGTGAAGTGTCTGAAAAAATCAGGCTTGGCATAATCTTGTCGAAGCTTCCATTGAGCGTGAGCGACGGTGTACGCCATGAGACTCTCATTCTGAACGGACGGGGACCGTTTTATGGGATAGGAAGTCGCTGCGGGAGTGAGCCATCCAATGGATGTCAGCGGTGTATAAACACTTACTTGAAACCGTATGTTCGTGCTGCAGTGAATTCGATAACCAAAGTTGCGACAGAAATAGCGAAGACTCAACGCGGTAGCACAATGGAGAGCCAGACAGACCTGGGGAGAAAACAACGGTAGATCTATCAGTTTGCGAGGCCGCAACTATTGTGCACCGAAAAGCAAGGAAATTATAGATCCAGCGAGCACTGAGCGAAACCACAAAAGCGGCGTTGCCGGGGGGGAGGCGAGAAGATAAAAGTAAGAAAAGAAGAAAACATAAGTGCCACAGTACGTCTATATCCCCTGCGTCAGTGACAGCCTGCCCTAAAGTGGGCATCTACATCCCGTGACTCAGCGCCAGTGCGCCCACACACTTGTGGCTGAGCTATTTCTTTTTTGAGTCACACCCCACTCTTTACTCAACTGTTTCACTCGTTTTGCCCCCCTACGCTCCTTTGAACCCCTTTAAATTTACCTACAGGTTCTACGTATAAATAGAGGCCTGAAAATCCATGTGTAGAGCAGCGCTCGTCTTACCGGAAATTCAGAGATCTTCAAACATGTCTATTCCCTGCACGTGACGCTCTAGCTCGTGTGACGCCACCTCCTACCGAAAAAGTAGCTGCGAACGTCACAGCCAGCCTGCCCTGAAGTGGCTGATCTCAAAACGTGTCGTCGGGCCACCGTGGTTTCTCTTTCGCCTCCTCCATCAAGGACGCATTTGGGCGTATTTGCATCAACAGCCGCGTAGTGGTGGCGCGTTCCTGGATCAGCTTCCTTCATTAATTTGTACAAGGTGCATCTACTTCTATTCCTCGTAGGCCTCTTCCTCACAACGCGCTCATGTGATATATTTGCCTTTTAGTTTCACGTGGTCGACATGTTTCGAACTGAGCACAGCCGATTTATTTCTCACCCTCAACAACTGGCTGGATGTCTCTCCCTCCATCCAAACAGCAGAAGGCCCCCTTTGCCATGAATTTGTAAGAATACACTTTCGTGCATTAAATCTTTTACTGATACAATTCACAGGCGAAGCCAGTCCAAGTCGAATGCCCGCGTGACGAAGGGAACCACGTCAAATGCGTCCACACCCGCAATGCAGTCGGGTATTGCAGACGATGGGGAGACACAGCAGATGGTAGCTAGTCCCGACGGTGTTGATCAGCCTCCCAAGAAGCCAGTCAAGGGCAAGCAGCTTCCCAAACATGAACCAGTTGCTCGCACCATGCCTCCAGTTAGAGGCAGGCAGTCTGCCAAAGACAAACAGGCCAAGGCTCCAGAGCTCTCTTCGACACCACAGCTCCCCGAAACTCCACAGCGACCATCCACAGCTGCTCCCGTCATTCATATAACTCCCTCGAAGGTCTCATCAGCCAATTCTGACTTCGAAGAAACAGCAAAAATTGACCATATCCAAGCATCGCTCACGGGGTTCATGGTGATGAATAGAAACACTGTAGAGCTGACTCTCTGGCGCTGGCTACACAATGGAATGTCAAAACAGAGCCAGCGTAAACTAGAACAAACAGTACGAAGCTTCGTCAACACATTTTGCGAAGCTGGTTGGCCTCAGCTGGTGAACAAGACCTTCACCGCTGAAGCGCAACTATACGAGCCCTTCGTCAATATCATGCATGCAGTCGAGGACCACTTCAACCATCTCATGCCTAATACGATCTTTGGCTCAGCAAGGAACGTTCACAAGATGCAATTTGCACACGCTGCTCGCTCGGACGATGGAACATCTGGTCTACACTCCAGTCCCGATATCGCGATATTCGAGGAGAAGAAGTGCTCGAGGGGCTGCAACGTATTGCTCGCTCGTTACTGCCATGTCCGCAATGCTTTGGAAATCAAGCTGCAATGCAACACGTCAGTCGAGAATGATGCAGTCCAGCTTGGCGTGTACGTGCGGCAAATGCTCATAGAACAACCCGATCGACGCTTCGCCGCATCATTCGTCTTTACGGAGAGAAATTTACGTTTATACGGTTTTGACCGAAGTGGCGTATGGCACTCGCCATTCATTGATTTCCATAAACACCCTGACCTACTCGTCCTCGCAATCCTATTTCTCCATTCGAATGATCATGCCATCGGCAGGAACACTGAAATCATGCTGAGCAAGAAGTCGAACAAGACTTCTGCAGTACTCAAATTATCGGAAATGGCCATTGCTCCCTATTGTCCCATGCAAATCGCTAAACCGACAAAGACCACTAACAACGACACCACGTTTCATGACATCGTCGTGAATGCAGATCGCTGGAAACGTTCCCGGACCATCCGATCGCGTGGAACGACATGCTGGATGGGTGAAATCTGCAAGTCCAAGAAGTTAGGATGCGTAGTGAAGGATTACTGGCGAGCTGCCAATCGAACATCGGAGGCAACCATGCTTCTCGCTGCCCACGGTGTGAATGGCGTTGGAGAGATGTTTGCATCCAGGGAGCGGGAAAGGGTCTCAGATTTCCGGGGACAGGACTTTCTGCATAAACAAGATTTCTTCCAAATCGAGAATGCTCCTGAAGCATTGAACCATGCACCGGACCACGTTCATTGCTTGCTACTTTTGGAACGTTACGATGGACCATTATCGTGCGCCCCGAACCCTTTACAGTTTCTTATCGCTTTTCATGACTGCGTCTGCGGTAAGGCATTCCATCCTAGCACTATTTCATGTTTCGCTCACGAAATACCTTTAAGGACACCGTGATCTGTTGTTGGGGCGAGGCATCCTCCACCGTGACATCAGCTTCAACAACCTAATGTATTACAGTGCTGGCACTTCCGGAAACACTGGCAAGCTCATCGATTTGGATCTGGCCGCAAATGTGAGGACGCTATGGAACTCAGGTGTGGCAACCATTGGTGACTTTCGAACAGTAAGTGCATGTGCTGTATTCTCGACATCTGTTCTAACCATCAGCTTAGGGCACTCGCATATTCCAATCCGTCAAAGTCATGTATACCGACAAGACAACTTTTGAAACCCTTGGTCCCCACAATCACCTCGATGATCTCGAGTCATTCTTCTATGTGCTCGCTTACTACTGTGCAACGCTCGACGGGCCAACCACAGAGGTGCAGCCAAAACCCATAGAAACAGTTAGACCATTCGAAGACTGGTTCGCAAGTCCAAATATGAAGTCGCTCTGGGTACGCGAGCCCCATGGTATTATCGGGCCCACGACCTACATGCAACATATCTGGAGTGTGGTGTCCTCTCGCATGGTCGAGTTCTTCACCCCGCATGTTCAGTTTGCCTACGACGTTGATTGGGATCGTCGGTATAAGAGGCAATGCGAGGCACCGCCGCCGCCGCATCTCACTGAGAAGCAGTGCATGAAATCAGCAGTGCAGGATTACCAAACGTTCATTGGTATTATCGATGACGCAATTTCCTACCTCAAGGACTTCAACGCCATCCCTGAGGATGCGGAGCCAAGTACATGGTCTGCTACACCAAGCAATGTCAGACAGGAAGTCGAGGTCAATAAGAGTCGTGTTCCACGCCCAGCAGCAAGACGATCCAGACGATAATCGCATTGTGACCAGTGTGCATGTATGTATTTGCGTGTAGCACTTCGAACGATCCACACGATAATTGCATTGTGACCAGTATATATGTATATATTCACGTGTATGTATTTGCGTATAGCACTTCTTTCAGACACTCGGGCTTGACTATGTGGGCCACGCTGATAAGGGACGTCATCATATCCGGGGATAGCATATACATAGATGCAAGAGCCTATTGCGACTAGCTTGCCGAACAGCCAAAGAAAAGGTTGTGCTACTTCTCACAGATCCCAACGCGCACGCCTGTGCCACGTATTGGCCTGAATATCTCTGAGACCCCTCAGGGTCTCGGACGCCAAAAAGTACCCCAATCTGACCCGTTTGCCCATTGACATGCTTGCTATCAGAAATCTCAGAAAAGTGCCTGCTCTCATTTCTTGTTTGAGTAAGGCCGCCCCGCGACATCTCGACACGGTTCCACCGGTGGATCGCTTCTCGGGCATTGTCTCAGACTCATTTCATCACCCAAGCCGTGAGCTAGACAATGCAGTTGCACATAGTTAACAAACAACAAATGTACATATCAGAGTGGCTACACGTCCATGACCATGCGAGCAGTGAATACATAAGCTTTGGTAAGCAGCAGCCATATCCCTCCAACGTATCCATGAACACCTGCCCCTATGATGCTTGCGAATACGGCACTAAGGAAAGCGACGAAGAGCAACTGTGACCAGGAAGTCATATGCACGAAGGCGTTTTCAACGGGTTCCTTCTTGTACGGCGAAACCTGGTTGTATAAATTTCAGCGGCAGCACTTACTTAAGCCCTGATCGCTTACCTTGACCCATACTTTGATCTCCGACGGTCCACCTTCAGTGGTAGCAGTGACGATCAATGTACCGTCGACATGCTCGCGTGTCTAGATGAAAGTGATCGTGATCGGTCGTTCATGAGGAATTGTCGAAGGTTTTCATGCTACGTACAGCCACAGCTTGAATAAGTGTCCCGGAATGTTCAAGTCGGTCCATGAGGCGACCAGTCGTGCTTTCGAAGATACGCGCAAACCCATCGTCACCGCCTACAACGAACCCCATATCGAGAATTGCAATCTGCATGATTTGGTTGCGTAGAATCGGGTACGTGTAGGAACGAACCCGTTCCAGTGACGGAAACTTATACTCATCCACACCGCTGACAAGGTTTGAAACGAAGAAAGCCCGTTCGTCACAGGACAAGACAGAATGGCCGCTATGAATTAGACGTTATTGAAGCTACGATACATAAATGAAACCAATGCTTACATGCGGGTGGGAATCTGCTTCAACCACTTGAGGCTCCAAGGGTCGATGCCATAGCAGAAGCTATGCGGGTACATTCAGAGCATTGTTCGAGCAGTGAAGCCGGCTAGGAACTCTCACATCTTGTGCGACTCACAGAAGCACACAATAATGCTCGCGCCTGCATCGCAGAAATGCACAGAGCGCGCAATAGCGTCTTGACGGGGAGGTTCCGTAACGAGACTCTCTAAAATGCCTAGATACAATCCTATGTGAATGACCGGCACTCGAGAATGCAGAGGTACTCACCGCCTGCGTTTAATTTCCATACCTGGGCAGTTCCTCCTCTGACACTGGCAACACGACCAAAGTTGCAATCAAATTGGAGGTCCTCGACCATGCCCTTATGAGCAATTGTCATCGAAGAAAAATTGAATATCGTCTGCCGGGATGCTCAATAAACCCGGACCAGAGGCGGACAGTTAGGACTTACGTTGACCTCGATCCTTTGGTATAACTGCAAGTTGCCATCCGAGCAGCCAAATACGAACACGATGGTAGCTCCTTTGTCCATATCAAGCCAGCATATCGCGGTGACTGCTCCATTGAAGACACAGGAAATTTCCTGCACTTTCTCGCCCGACTTGAGATTCCATACCATCAAGCACCCATCATCAGCTTCAAACAAAACAATCAGATCGGCAACCAGCAGAATAATTGAGATATGCACCTCCTGATAGCATGAGCGAGCCGTCGCTGCTAAGCGCAAGAATGTTGATAGGTAGAGCGTGCACAGTCAAAGTCTTCCTCAATGTCATCTAGGACGGACTTAATTCAGGATATTGCGAGACATTGCGTACACACATCTCTGACATGGTTTATGATTTTGTAAGAGAAGACACTTGACAAAAGAGCAGGACGGCGAGGCAGTGACAGCGGAATGGTGGAGCGATTTATAGTTATATCGATGATTGAGCCGGCAGCGATAGCGGCCAGCCAGGTGCTGCACATGCTGGATGATGAACGTTGGTATTCCCTGGTATAACACGGCTAGACGCACCTCCGTCGAAGTGTTTCGACGTCGCATGCCGTGTAGGTGGAGCAACTGTGACGGACCGGAATGAATGAGAAGCTCGGAAGGGAACAAACGTACGTACCTGCTAGGCCCGGTACTCTCCAACGAAGCTTGCGATAGTTCGTGACAGATCTCAGAGCGGCCTTGCCGATCCAGGAGAACACATGCGGACGACGAGCGGCGACGAGCAAGAAGTCGATGAGCGTGGCCATCGCACCTTCGCGTTTGTCTTACAGAAGATCCCGAGTTATACTGTGATACTAAAACTTTATGAGCTTCACAAGTACTCGATAATATATATATTGAAACACCGTAACGATTGCCGCCCACTTCGGTCAGGCCGCACTGACCGTAGTGGGCGAAAGAGAAGGTGTGCAAGTCCAAGCCGGTTACCATAAGCGGCGATGTTTAGGGCAGGGTGTCACCGGCACGTGCGTATATCAGACCGGCTCTGCGGGCGCTTATATCTTTTCCTCCTGCTTCGATCCCACAGACCCCCCTTACCGCCCCCTCCTCAGGCTGCCTTCTCATTGCCTTATCCTGTCTGTCCAACGCAGATCGCTGGATTCAACGCAAATATCTGGCTTCAACTTCAGACCAACGCAGGTGAGCTAGCCTGCCTCGCTTTCATCACGCGTCGTCTTCTGCTCCAAGGGCCTACCTTTCATACATCATCAACCCCGCAATCTGATCCGTAGATCATCCCCGCAATCTGATCTGCTACCCCACTCAATCACGATCTCGCCTTCAGTGGCCGTCCCGACAGCCGACCTCAAGTCGTGGCCGTCGCGAACGTTGCAGGCTGGTGAGTAGGTAGCTCCGCTATATTGGACTTCTTTCTTACGTACTCTTCGTTGAACCGCCTTCGCGCTCCGACCATCCACACTCGACTATTTTTGATCCGTGCCCACTCTAATCTGGTGCGCAGTCGGATCCGCGTTCCGCACTTGATCCGCAAACACATCCGATCGCACGTCCTCCTTCACAGTGGCCGTCCTGTAGCCGTCCTGTACTTGTCGCCGTCGCCAACGTTGCAGGCTAGTGAGTGGCTTTGCTATATTGGACTTCCTTTTGTCCCATTCTGGTGGCCTCCGTGAACTTCCTCGCCTTCACATCAAAAGCCGCTACGCCCAGAATGGTACTTGCAACGGATTGTTATGGAATCGCAGCTGCTCCAGCATGCAGCCGCTTGGGATGTCGGTGAGTGGACTTCTTTCTCATTCTTTCATAGCCGACATTCGCACTGAATCGGCCTCGGGTTTCGAGACTGGGTTTTACGCTCGGCCTCAGAGCATTCTCGCATTATGATATAAGACATATGTCCTCCCTTCTAAGTCGCACTGTCCTAGCTATGGAGAGCGACAAAGCACCTGTTCAGAGCTCTGGCCTTGGCGTAGGCGCCAAGTCCTCCAAACTTTCGTGAAGGATCGATGGATGGTACCACACCGTGAGTGCCTATCCTGTTCCTGGTTCCGCGCGTGCTTACTCTAGTCATGATCAATAGATCGCTTTGCCTGCAGTGGATGTCACGCCCGCCGAGTTATCCGGCAACCCTTGGGTCACTATCACCGTGCGTTTCTTCCAGTTGATGCCTAATGTAAAAGATAGTAATGGCACCAATCTGTAGCCGGAAGCATATGCAGAATCTCATGAGATTGGATTCGTTGGCATTCATGATGTGAGGACTTTAACCCGCCTTGCGACGACTGCTCACCTTATAAAAGGAGGGGTCTCCTGGGCCATCCGAACATGAATACAGTTCTGAGGATGAGATGAGGCAAGACATCTTCGATGAATCTCTTGTCAACGAAGCTCTTGTCGCTCTTTCCGACGAAGTTCCCGCATTCGATGCAATGCTACATCATGAAAGAGCCTCGGACCGTGTTGCTCCAGAATCTCGAGCTCCCTCAATCGGTGTTTCTCATGTCAGTCATTCGGAGCTCGTGTTCCAGGTGAGCTCACGTCCACTGCTCTATAAGAGACAATATTCACTGGTTCTCGACTGTTAGTTTCCGAACGGTAGATCGTCGGCTTTCCTTTCCATAGTCGAAGGTCATGGGCATGCCACCGCTCCAGGCATTATCCTCGGCGCCTCAGTTGGACCTCCTGTAAGCACTGCAGAGAGGCCTATTGACGATGCTCCGTTGTCCAAACTGATGCAGGCAATGTCGCTTGCTGTGGCGACTGGAGTGAGGGAGGGCGTCCAAAAGGCCTTGGACACAGTTGGTAATCAGGGTGGACACAAGGGTGGACGCACTCAGTTCGGCAGTCGGGGCAATGCCGGGCATGGAATACACGACCGTGTTGATAGGAGTTCTCGAGCCGCTACAGGCTCTGGGCGCATGGATGTCGATGAAGAAGAATACTTTGGAGATGAAGACGAGGGCGGAGATGCATGCGCAATCCTGAGAAGTCAGGGGAGGAAGGGCCCTCGAGACAACAATTTGTTCAATGTAAGCGAACGTTTTTTCAGCGTGGAACAATTATCTAAGCGTAAATTCATAAGGCTCGGTTTCGCGATTATCTGCGCAGCAGACACGTCTTGCCCATTTCTGGTGTTCGTCCGCAAAGCGCCACTCCTGACGCTGTACAAGCGTTCGCAGATGGATCTGGTGACGGGCCCGATATCGCCGCGCCGTTGATCGACTGGAACCACGAGTTAAGCTCGCGCTGGAACAAGGAGGTCGTCTTTCTCCTGTCGCGAGACTTCCTTCAGCGGATCAAATCAGGCCACGAGTCTCCCCTAGTGTTCGATGAGGAGACTATGTCACAGATTGCTATCGCTCGTTCCTGCACTATGAAATTGCAGCGTGTGCGAATAGAAATCCGTGATGCCGGAAGACTGGACTCAGACAAGAAGAAATCTGAGAATGCAGCCGCATTTCGGCGCAATACTCGTCGCCAGGGAGTGAGTATTGCCATCAAGGTATATTCTATCGCTGACAATTGTTCTACTAGATCTTCAACCGCAGAATGGGTATCGTCAAAGCGAATAAGGCGAGCGAACGATCGCTTTGGGGTGCTATAGAAGAGGTTCTCGAGCTACTTGATATCGCCGGAATGAGTTCCGATCACACCGATGATGGTATTACCCAAGACTTCAAAGTGGTCCGCCGTGCACGTTTGCTTTGGCGTCATGACGACCTTGAAATACTGTGCCATGCTATCGACACTTTTCATGCCATGTCTAGGATTCCACAGTCTAGGGGAAACAGGGCCCTTCTGCGTATATCGCTACTAACAGTATCATCTCTGAAGTCTAGCCGGCAGTACGTCCGTGGGCTGCCACGATCATTCTATGATGCGCAGTGGCTGGCATCTCTTGACAAGTCTGAATGCCAGCAAGTAGGATACACGAGCGCAATCGAAATACCTCATTTGGTAAGCCCATACGCATGCACTTTTGACCATTCTGAACATCACTTTGTAGGCTGACTATGTTGATGGCTGACGAGGGATCAACAAGTCGATATTCGGTCGCTAGGCGCGCATTTCTCATATCTACCCGTGTCTCGCACTTGTACTAGTAGTGGAAACCCCTATGCATGGTGATTGCGACAGACGATGTGAACGCCTCTTGACAGCACATCTCAGGCTTCTTCAATTCTGTTGGGATGGGTGGTGAGAATGTTGTCTCGGTCCTTCACGGCGATATCACGGCACTCATATGCAAGGAAGGTGAACCAATCATTATTATATACGAGAGCTATGGAGACCTTGTGTACTACATGAAGAGGCGAGCATAGATCAGATGTTTCTATTCACGTACTAACATTTTTGTGAGATGTTGTTCGATGCATATCTAGAATAAGAGATATACCTTGGTTGGGAGAGCCTTCATTACATATGTGACACTGCTCCATTCCTGTCGAAGTGCATGACACAGTCTACGATTCGAAGGGATGATTTCTATGTGATTGTCAAGCACTTTTGACCATATGCTGGCACCGAAGTCAGGAAATTCGGTAAAAGGATCGTGCATCTCGGTTGGCTTTTGCTTGTACCTATATATGACCAGGATAATGTACGCGTTAGGGTGACACTCGGAGTAGTCCGCCGCCGGAATGGACAGTATGCTGCGAATGACTCCAGGGATCATCACCGAACCTACGGCTGGCTGGAAGAATACAAGACTGTTAGATTCTCCAGCATGATATGTGGAGAAGCGGACTCCATTAATGGTGTATCGCTCATGGTTGAGTGCTTTTCGTCCAAGTCTCCAGTCGCCAAGCTCAGATGCAAGCACCATCGTCTCTGCTGATAATGCCTCATAGAGATCGGGCTCGATATCCTGCCAATCGCGCCAATCCGAGACACAAGGTGCTTTGGCCTGAACAGCTCCAAAGTCGAGATAGGCACGGATGTCTGACATCAACGTTCCGCGGTCACCTTCATTGAAGCAGCTTTCGATAATAGACGAGCACTTCCGCAGGACGTCTGGACACTCAGCACATTTCAAGAAAGCTTTGATATTCGCCGCTGCGCAGAATGATTCTAACATCGTTTTTTCCAATTGACCTGAAATTACGTGAGCACCATCCTTTCGTGGATCGAACTTTTACTGACCCAATTTGCCGTTTGTGTTGGTTTGCTGCAGTATTCCTATCACCCTCTCGAAAGGAAACATCCACCAGCCTCGTATTGGTCCGAACCTCAATAAGAAATCTCCCAGATGCAGGGCAGCATGGTGATTCGGACGGAGAGATAGATCAGGACGCAGTTCCCGTATCCCGGATACATAGGAATGCATGTGTTCGGTATAGATCTGTTTGTGCTCTTCCGAGATGATATAAGATGTGGCGTACTGCACCGCGCACGCAAGCAACATTGTGGATCGAATTAAGGCATAGCGAGTGTCCCTGTCGGGATGTGTATGTGCCGTAGAAGGTTTCCATCTCTTCATAAGGGAGACGGGTAGTTCAAATTCGATTACGGCCTTCCAATGGTCTGCTTTCAGCTTTCCCCGTGCTTTCGTTCCCATGTTGCATGGTGGGCCACTCGAGTATGTCGGACGGGTTGTCTGTGATATATCGTGCTGCAAATTTCTCAAGTCTTTTCCAGAAAATACTGCAACAGCCCTACTCGATTCGTCGTCTTCGCTCTTCTTTGCAATATTCTCTGCGCATTCATCGACGTAGTCTTTCCCTATGACTGAATCGTGAGCTGCAATCGGTATCGAGCGTGCAGGTATCTCAAATGAAGGTCTTGCCATTGTGGTGCGCATGCTCCCCTAGAGGTATCATTGTGACTTACACCTATACGAATTTTGCAGTGGACTCACCATTAGCGCATCAATTATGACTTTCTTCTTCAGCTTCTTCGTTGACCCCCACGACGGCTGCTCCACACCTCGTTTTTGGCACATGAGTCGCAAGGCCAATCTCGACTTTCGATCGAGTTTCTTAGCAGCATCTTCGGAGACCAAGATTTTCTCAATTTTCTCAACTTCCTTTCGTATGTTCGTACTGTCCGGCGTGCGCATGCTCTCGGGATCGTCAACGTCGTCATCGTACCGATCGTTGACTGGCATGTCCATACCAATAATCATGCGCACATGGTACTGGACTAGCCCAAGAAGCAGGTTATGCATTCCGTCCACCACCACACAGCGAGTCGGGTCCCAATACGGCAACCTCAACAGTTGTGACCATCTTACACCGTGGGCACGATAAGTGGCTTGCTGTCGAGCCTTCGTCTTCGCGTTCCGCCACTCATTGGCAAAAACGACGACATCTTTTTTGGCCTTCATCGTCCATTTGTTCATATCTATATTGTTGATGTCCTTTAAGAGCAAAACACACAGTGCACAGAAGCAAGTCGCCGAGGGACCAGCCATACCCGCAACCTTTCTTCCTGCGGGGAGATCTGTGACGAGAAGTGCTATCGCGGAGCGCGTGAGTCGTCCTCGAGGATGTTTGTACGTCCGAGTGTACCAGACGCCGTCTTCCCAGGAAACCAGGAGCTTGTCGATCAGAGGTCGAAGGAAATGATCTATCTCTTCCAGAGACGGCTCATGTGGCCCAGGAATGATACCCATGAGATATAAATTCTCTGGTTTATACCTCAGACTGGGAGGCAGGAGCAGACAGCACATCACTACGGAACCTTCTGAGACCGACCTTCCCGCTATCTTATTGAGATAGGGATTGAACCAGTCCACTGAAAGGCTCCACAGTAAACGGATCTCGGTGCCGGATACGCGTAAAAACGGCCCTCCATCCTTGTCCTTGAATTCACGTACGACAGAGCCATCGCTGATATCGTAGAGACGGTGCGTCTGCGCGATCTGGCCTCCTAGCGTAAGTGCGTCCTCGATTCCCGGTCTGCAGAGCAGCTGCCCTACAAATGAATCGAAGTCTTGTATCGCAAACGGGCATCGTGGTAGACGTACGCTGCGTCCGTCGCGCACCTCATGAATCGTGAGTTTTGTATTGCAGGGCACGCTTCTTTCCCAGCGTCGAAACCGGCAACGCGCAGGATAGACAGGAATGCCAGATTGGTATGAAGGCTCGTACGTGGATGAGCAAGTTGGACAAACTGCCCAGACGATGGTTACAGGATCGAGGTCGAATAGTTTCCGGACACTTCGAATGTCCGTGGGGAATCTCTTGAGAATCTCTTGATCGTCAGATGAGACTGCACCTTTCTGTTGTATAGCACATTCGATGATCAGCTTGAGCATTCGCAAGGCAAAATTGCAGGCCCTTCGAGTCGACCCTCTGAGCAAGTTGAGAATAAGTGCCATGAAAATCGAGAGCAGCAAGAGAGGATTTATACGATCGAGGGGATGATCAAAATGTTTGTCTCGAGTTCCGATAAG